GAGTATATAATAAACTTAAGCTATAAGCTTAAGTAAGTATAAAGCACTATATTAGTACTTTATTAAATATACTTTAAATATATATTAAATCTATATATATATAATAAGCAGAAAAGAGAAAATAGAGAGCTTCTTCTTTCCCTCTTTTCTCTCCTTAAGTTTATAGTTAATACTAGTAATACTTATACGTAGTTGCCTATAAGGCTAGTCCTTAACAATAAAGAGATTTTAAAAGACTAGATTCTATTAGTTATAAGTATTACTAATAAATACTATATTAGCTTCTAGTTTATATTATTAGCTTATTAAAAGACTCTTATAGTATAATAGTAAAGGCTTATATAATTTAGTTAATTACTAAGCAGAAGATAATAGAGATTCTTAAGGTATAATAAACAAGACTTATAGTATAGTATAAAATTATATATAATAGTATATATTAAGAAGTATAGTTATAAAAGCTTAATTTCCTCTCTATCTACTTAAAGAGAAGAAGAGTTATTTATAGGTAAATTCTATAGTAGAGCTGCTAAATTGAGAATCTCATCTGGGAGGGCCGGTCGCTCATCTATAGAGACCCTGAACTTTTGTTGATGCGCTGTAGTCCAACTTCGGCAGGAAGGTCCCGTTGTTGGCATGCTGTCGATGAGCTGATACCCTATGTTATGTCATGTGTATTTTCCATAAGATTCACCACAAAGCCTGCCGAATGTACTAGAACAAGTGAGGATGAGAACCGTCCACAGGCCGTCGTCATTCAAACGCGGTTTGCACATAAAGCCACGGCTCAGAAAAAGGAACAGTAACGGAGGTTTGCAAACAGCCGGAAATAAGAAAAACTTGGTGGAATATGGTGTCAGATGCAGACATTATAATAGTTAGTCTGTACCGATCTCAACCAGGTTGAGGAGCGAGTGATTGGGTAGCGTGAGGGCACCCTCGGCGGCCCAGGCAATATGCTCCAGGCCTACTCCGTACACAAAGCCCTTTTTTGCAGACTCCCGCCGTACCAATTTGACAGATCTGCAAACTCTTCCTTCTTCTGATTAGCTCTTTGTCGAGTCGTCCCCTCCAATCGTGGGTTTCTTAGCACTGATGGCAACATATCTCCAGTACTTTTGCGCATAATAACCACGCGCACCACCAACTGCATTGACAAAGTACTTTTCGAGACGAAAGAAAACGATGATATGGTATGGAATAGCTGCTAAAAGCCAAAATAGTCGCAGCATTGGACGGACATTTTCGGAGTAGTCATGCTCTTTAACATCTACAAAGCCAGCTTCTTCAAGCAGCTGTTTGTAGTACCCACGCTTAGCGCGCTGCCACGTAGGCATGGCACCATACTCACTGACCTCCCTCATTAGTTTGGCCAGTGTCTTACCAATAGCTTCGTCGGATCCATAGTCATGGTCGTATTCATGCATAGCGATGTGACCTCCAGGTCGGAGGATGCGGTAGAAGCCCTTTAAAACCTCTAGTGGATCTGTCGCATGGACGAGAGTTTCCATCGTGTAGACTCCATCATAACTCCCAGATTGTAATGTTTCAAGGTGATGGTAGTCCATCTTGTTGACCGATACGAGAGAACCAAGATCGCCAGATCGAGCAACATTACGCTTCGCTTTGGCAAGATGGTGATCCAGTACATCGATGGCAGTCACACGCAAGCCGTGATTTGCCATGTAGAGAGCAACATGCCCAACTCCACAGCCGGCATCCAAGACTTGCGAGCCCGGCGCAACGTCAAGGAGCCTGTACATCTTCTCCTCCATCCTCCGCAAAGGGCCACTTAGGGGAAAGACCCAGTACGTGTCCTTGTCCCAGTAACCAAAGTGGCGAGTATTCCCCAAGAGAAGCCAATAGCCAATTCGTGACTCAAACGACTTGTAAAGGCTCTGAAGGGCGGGATTATCCTTTATTACTGGTTTCGAGTCGACTGCTGATGTCTGCGACGGAGCGGGCATGTTGAAAAATAAAAATTCCGACTTCGAAAGTTAGACGCTAGAAAGGGAAACTGTGGCCGTGAGCGGTGGCTTACCTGGCAGAGCATGCCGATTGGTGTGGAATTTACCGCAGCACGTGAGATTGGGCGGAAAGGGGCGCGGTTACAGTGGTTGTGGGATCATACAGGTGGCAGTGCAGTGGCGCAAAGACTGGCGGCAACGTTCTTGATCTGCGGGGTAGACTGCAGCAAGCTTGGAGATAGCGCGCCCGCGGAGAGCCTGTGGCTCCTAGAGCCTCCAACATATCGTCAACCAACGCTCCATAGGGCACACATGGATCGCACTCAACTCGAACGGCAAACACTTTGGATCCCCAGCTTCGACTCCGACTTTTCCGGCAACAGAGGTGGCGTGCCAGCGCAGGGCCAGCCTACTGCGGCGCAGCCTACCCCAACCACGGCCGGTCCGCATAGTACCGACACGATGAACAAGCTGGATCCGACTGTGGATAGCCAAGCCGCCCAGCCGCAGGCGCCATATAGAGCTGCCTAAGTCATGCCCTATATGTTTTAGTTTGTAACTATATCTGGCGTTTGTCTCTCTTTAAAAGCTTGAGAAGGACGTGTGGCACATCTGTGCCTCGCCGTCGTGTCGTACAATGCGACCCAACCGTCGGGTTTCTGGAGCAACTGACGAAGCCCGGAAGTAGCTGGTTGCGTCGACTCCAGAGCCGGCTCTCACTATTCAGTTCAGGAGGACAAAGGACCTGATTCTCTACGAATTCTGTGAGCAGAGGCATATCGCTCTTGTGGCACTGTCCCCCTCGGGAAATGTGCATAATCTTCATAGTTTGATGAGTACCTAGAGTAGTAATTTTATCTGGGACACGTTGCGCAGAAACTTCAATTGCATCCGTGTTTTGGGCAATTCGAGATGGGGCTTTTTTCATGTTCTTGAAGAGCCAATTGCCCGAAGCGAATGTCTGGACTACAACGTCGTCCGGTTTTTTCGAATCTATCCAGTCAAGGTTACTGTTAGGTCTGCTCCGTTCCTTGGCGGTGCTTTTTATCACGATCAGAGGATTAAATTCGTCTGACACAGGGGCTACAGATAGAGCCAAGTCGAACAGCACAGGGCGTTCACCCGCAGGCGGCAACCCCATGTGCGGATCTTTGCCAGTTGAGTTTTTCGGTCTGGGATAGTTGGTCCCATCATGTTCGTCGGAGGTGTCCCCGGAGATGACCAATTGCCGCACCCAAGAGCTTGCGAACGTCCGCGATAGGCATAAATCCCACGTACTGCACTCCCTTCGCCGCATCGCCGTCTGGAATTTGTGAATTATGTTTCCTTGATTGGGGTTATAGACGTAGATTATATATACACTCGTCTTGTGGTATGCTACTTTAAGCATCCGTGATGTCACAATGTCGTGGCTACTGCGCTTCAGGAGCGGTCTCCGAGGGACAGATAACGTCGCTGCACTATGAAGTCAGACCCTCGCCCTTTCCAGTTTATGTATAGCAGCACTTGAGCTGCGGGGAGAACGGCCAAACCAATCACATGTGCTGGACACATCCCGGGTAGTTGCAACCAAAACCTAAACGGTAGCGTTCCTGCGTCACGGGCTTAGCGATGGTGTAGTCTGTCCGTGCCAGGGATACACTCTGACAGGTGTCATCTAAAGGACAGGTCATAATATCCCGCAACATTGGAGTCTGTTCAGTGGGTTCCGTCATGTCTCTCCCTACCGCCGGCTTGGCGGGTCAGTTGGGACTCAACAAAGCAGCAATGGCGGACTGTCAGTGCGGCATTGAGCCCGGTTTCACGGCCAGACGGAGCCGTCGACAAAACAGTAGCATCTTGGTCTCGGACCAGCCTCCGGCGTTTTCAGACCAGAGCGTCGCCTTCGTGCAGTAATCAAGTTTTCCCGGTGTTGATCATGTTGGAATACACTAGAGTCTGTCCATCCAAGCCATGGACTCCACTCAACCACATAAATAGGTCGTTGACGGAACAATTGTCTGTATTTCCATTACGACAATTATCTGCCCTAGCTTGCCTTGAGAACGGGTTCCTGTTTATTCAAAGCACCAAGGTCTATTGTGCATTTATTTCAAGACACAGTATAGTCATGAAGCAGTCAACTCTTCCGTATGACAACAGCGAATTTTATGTGATGAAAACCCCACAGGGCAAAGTCATGGTGTCTGCCAATCTCCTCATGGCATCTGGCAACACGACCGATGAGAGCTGGGGACTGCTTTCATATCAAAGTCAGCACGCCCAAGGCATCATGCCCGCGACATATCCGCCAGCGACAGAGGCCAGCCCCAACGTTCCTGGACATCTTGTGGCCCCAGCAAGCACCGGGCCGCTGCCATTGGTGTGCCCAGAAGCTCAAGCTGGTATTGCTCCATGTCCATTTGGTAGTTGCTCGCCTGTTGAGACAAGTCAGCCGCGGCCAGCTGATCCTCCCGCTTATTTTTCCGGCGTGGACGTCGCCACGGAAACTATACCATCGTCTCCATGTCAAGATGAAATGAGTTACACCCCGCCGGGGCATCCTAGACGCGCAACATCGGCTTTCATGCCAAACAGTCACAGCATAGCTCCCGAGACGGGTCTGGTACAGAACGATAACGAGCCAATTCCGTCATACATGACGCCGCAAGCTATCAGGGCAAGAAACATTATACTTGCATGTCCCCTCCGAACAAAAAGACCCAACAAAGTCGCTGGCGCACCTCGACCTAGCGCCCGACACGTCCCCTATCCCGAGAACTCCCAAATGCTAAAGCGACAGAAGCCAGATATGTGTTTCTGTAGTAGATGTTTTCGGAGGAGGATACAGCCAAGTTGCCAACAGAAGATCTACTGCATTTAACTTGGATCCGGAGGAGTTTTTCTTCTGTTTCTTTCTTCGGCCTTTTTTTAATTTTTTTTTTAGAGGGGGGGCTAGTTCGCAAATTCTCAGTGTACAGTCCTATCACGTCCCTTATTGTGTGTCGAGAATCTTTGACACAGTCTCTTGATATGAATTTTAGATTCCCTAGTATCAACACTAATCTTTCAGTTATGTTCAGTAATAGTTACTGTGCGTTGGGAAACATTTCGTCCCCCCACCCTATTATTGGAACAGATATATAATATTTTAGGGAATTGCTACACGGGCATGACACTTTGGCTACACGGGCATGACTCTTACACGGGCATGACTTTTACCACTTCTGATTGGTCGCATACTTTCTTGGCCCCACAGATACTTCCTCGGAAAGGCGGTGTAGCCAACTTCACTAACAAGCTCCTACATCACCATGAATTGCAGTCACTTATCGTTGTGGGCGCGATTGGTCTTCTGCTATCTTGCAAGCCTGCATTTCGGATTAAACTACCGTCCTTGTACTGTTAGCCAGTAACTGTCAAATACTGGCAAAAGACGTGATGTGGTCTACTTAATTTATTGCCTCACAACGATACAATCTGGATCTTCGTCATCACTCTTAGCCAGTTCCCATTGACTCCTTGTCCTGCGAATGTTTCGTTGCGTCCTCCGTCCACTGTACCGCACGCCTGTCGTATTCCCAGCATTTAGGACTTTAGAAGGTCTACCTGGCCCTTGCTGGGCTGAGATGCCAATTTGGCCACCAGTTTGTGTGATGGTTTCTCGAGTAGCTTTATGCACTCTCCTAGCAAGAGTTGGCTTATTGAGACTTCCTGGCGGTCGACCTCGTCGCCCACTTGGTTGATTATCAGATCGGCTACTTGATGTAATAGCTAGGCTTTCTGGGATAACCTGCGCTGTATTCTTTGGCCTTCCACGTAGTGCAGTGGCAACTTTCGGGTCAAGAATTCGTCGGTATGGATCTTGAGATGCCGATTCCCGTAGTCGCCAGCGTGGGTGGACCTCCCATTTAGTGAAACGTGTGTCAGAATCTAGCTTTGCGTAGACTTTATGATAGCATGGGATTCCCAGCTCAATAGAGACCGTACAGTCGTCGTCGCAAAGTCCAATAGAGTCGGGGAAGGGATTCTTCCCCGTCGGCAGAAATTTGCGAGCAATACAGTATTGCTTGTTGATTAACCCAAGTCCTTTCGATGACATGGTTGTTCGTAGTTCACCAAGATAGTTTCCCATCGAACCTAGGTATTGTGGAGCAGTCAGGACATCATCCTGTCCACAGGCATCCTTAAAGGCACGTTCTTGGTCATGTATCATATCCTGCATTGCCTCGACGAGTCGGTAGAGGTGGCTCATGCCATTTAATAGATAGCTTTTGATATTATTGTTGCTTGCTTCTGTGCCGGACGTAACTCGGATTCCGAAGTTACGATAACGACGGATAAAGCAACGTGCCCATTGAGCACTAACAGGCATATAAGTCGAGTAGAGGTATTGTAAGATCGCTCGTTGGTCGTCGAACTCTTTACAAAGATCTCTCCATGCCTGCTCAAACGCTTCCTCAGTCTCGGCATAGAGAACCTTTTTCCACATTAAAACAACGCCTTGGTAAGTATGAGGAATCTTATCACTACTCGACCGATCTTCGATCAGATGCTTATCTGTAGTGCTCAACCCGCCATCCGCCTGTGAGGGAATGTCTTCACTGTCACTAGCGCTAGGGCTAGTAGTACTGTCCTCACGTTGGCCCGTCCACCTAGTCTTCGATTTAAGCAAAACGTTTGAAAGGATATGATGAATACAAAGCTGTTGCTGTGCATTTGGAAACTGATCATTAACGGCAGCTTTCATAGCCTTGTCGAAGTCTGTGATGATGACATCTGGTTCCCTGAGTGAGTGTTTTGTAATGAGCTTGCGAACACTCTCTGCAAGGAATTGGAACCCCTCCCTCCTCTCGTTATCTATTAAGCCAAATGCAGCATTGAACACAGTTCCAAGACAGGTTTGGCCAGTAGCCTGGAATAAAGGAAGCTTGAAGCGATTAGTGTTATATGTGTTATCAAAGCTAATAACCTCGGGGAAGCGCTTCCACATCTGTAGACAGTACGGAAAGGTCCAGACAAGACCAAGCAGTCTATCTGGATCATCATCGGCCCATTTCGCGATGTATGGGATCTTCTTCTCATCAAAGAGTTTGATCAATGCCGCAGTAGGTGTATAGCCATTTAGCTTCTCTCGGTTAATGAACGAACGGGCATTATAGATATCCTTCCGCAGGAGTGTTGTATCGGGGAATTGCTCCTCAACCATAGCAGCTACATCACTGGCTCGAATACCCGCGCGACGGCTTGCTGACTCGATGGTTGCTTTAACTGGTGTAGTAAGGCGGCGGTGGGAAACATGCGCAGATGGCGTAATACTCCGTTCATGGTTATGCTGGTGATGTTTCGGGTCTCTATGTTGTCGAAGAAGCCACTTGCCTTCCTCTAGGGCTTCAGCAATTATCATCCATTTGCAATCACACTTCCGAGACCTTCGGGTTCGAAGACCAGAACCCCCCGAGGCCCGAGATTGTCCAAACCGGTCGCATTGAATGGAGTACCTAATCAACCGTCCCTTATAGGAATATTTATTCCGCCGAATAATACCAAATCCGTTCTCCTTTGCAAATGCGTTGGTTGTTTTAAAAAGAACTTCGGCCGAGGGCGCTGGGTCGCCAGGGATTATTGGGTTCGGAATTGGCTCCGGGGCGGGAGATAGAGACTGTCGCATAGGCGAGGAACTAATATTTTCGGGCGTCGGTGATATTCGAGGAGGTTGTGTGGGTGACCTACGAGGTGGAGAGTACGGTGGAGGAGAGTCATATGCTTCGAAACTTAATGGTGACCATCCCCATCTCTCTCGCCAAGCTTGTACACGTTCGTATGATCGAGCAAGGTCTACAGTTAGCCTTCGACCTTCGCCGGTAACCTCTCGTACTATGCGCATTGCGGACTCGAACTCGGCTCTTGTCCTTGTTGGGAGATGCTGGGCGGATGGGGGTGATTCGGGAGGTTCAGAGGCGAATGGATCAAATTCTGGGCCTGGTATAAGCGCTCTGACTCGCTGGCTCCATCTTTTTCCACGGAAGAAGTCATTTTGAAGATATATCTCATAGTCAGATCGAAGGCCCCATGCAGGCTCATGGCGGCCCTGTGAACCATGGGGGTGTGGGAGACTTGAAAGTGTTTGCGGGAAAGAGGCGAACAGGTTATCGAGTGCATTTTCGTCCCCGAGGCCGTAGAACTGACCGATACTCGTAGCAGAGCTACTCGCGGATTGTGGTCGGTCTTCAACTGTGGAAGGACTAGATCTGCGTCGCCGACTGGATTTGTGTCGCTTTCCTCTTTGTGATTGATCACTGGGACTAGGGCTCCGCGACCTGCGAGGAGGTGTGCGAGGCAAAGACATTGACGTCTTGAGAAGAGAACAAGATTGTAGTGAAAGAATTGGTCGCTATCTCTACAGCATAGGGTGCCGTATTATGGTTTATTAAAAGCTACGAAAATGAAGAAAGCAAGCTCGAGGGGGTCGCCCCGACTGCGCGACCACTGGGTTGCTGCGTAGTAGCTTAGCCGAAATGAAGTAATTTACACAGAAGCAAGGTTAAAATGGCCCAGGTACTTGCGGCTGAGGTGGCAGAATCCAGCGTCGTTAACAGAGACAATGCGACCAATCAGAAGTGGTAAAAGTCATGCCCGTGTAAGAGTCATGCCCGTGTAGCCAAAGTGTCATGCCCGTGTAGCAATTCCCATATTTTAATAGCTGCGGGTAATAACTCGTGAGCGCTTACTATGTTTTACCTTGTGGCTTAATTGGATAAATTCAACACCTATGCGACAAGAAGCTAAAACATTCAGAATCGATGTAAGATGAAAAACCTGCCAGAAACGGTGCCAATTTGGACCAAACGCTAAAATCGCCTCGCCTTCCATGCCAGACGTGCTTCAGGGCCTTCTGTGCGAGCCCCAGACTTCCCGCAACGCACCACTGCAGAAGAGGTGGAAGGAGTTTCAGAAGCTTGCCCCGGGACGAGAACTTATCTATCATAAAGGAGAGAGGAATGTTTGCAAGATGACTACATTGCCGAGTACGCATGCCACGCAGTACCTAGATTCCTTAGGTTACTTGAAGCTAGTTCCTGGCAATATTCGCTACCAAATGTGCAGAGCTCATCTAGGTAAGCAGCAGGCGCGCATGATCGGTCGCCGACATTGTGATATATGGCGATGCCGTCCGTACATTGCCATCATCCGTACTGGGAGATTTTTGCATAGGTAGTCCTTCATTCTCCTGTCTAGTGTGATGTAGGCGTAGATGTACCGAGTTCATAGACCTGCCTTCTGTTTCTATACTAAGACCAAGCATACCTGCAGTGCAAACGAAATAAGGCATGAGTCCGGACACGCGCCGAAGAGTAAAAAGGTCATCGTAGGATTGAGTCAATGCTAGGACGGACTGCGCAGTCTCTTTGCATATCGTAAATGGCCGGATGTCGATGCTTCCCATGTCCCTGCCGATGAGGGGCCGGAAAGCACATAGGAGGCAGTAGTGGTAATATATACTGCATTATCTGTTAGGTCCCTGTGCCCCTTTGCCGGCGCCATAGTCTTCGGGCTTACTCGGAAGTAACCGTCGAGGCTGGTGGTCTTTGGAGCTGACCTGTCTCCTCTTCCGTGCGATAATTTCAGAGGCACTACTAAGAGCAGCTCGCTTGGCACAGCCTAGAAAGTCTTCCAACTCGTAGATGAGAGAGCCATCAGCACAGAGCTAGATCCCAAATTGAACCGCAATATGCATAGGTAAGTCATACTTGATATAGATAGACATATAGCTTGTAACTTTACTTTAGGTCCTCTAAGTCCTCCAAGAGCCAGCCAGAAAGTATGGACTAAGCGACCAGAAGAGAGTAAATTATTGCAAAACTATCAACAGTTTAAAGGAGTAAATAGAGACTACTTTAAGCACTACAAAGAAATTATTTAACCTTAGAGAACTCTAAAATATAGCTGTGCTCTTCCTCCTTCTGCTTGCTTCCATAGGCTCCCGCCCTACGTCTATTCTGCGGCTTTATTTTGGAGACATCTAAGTAGCTCTAGCAAGAGACCTAGAAGGTGAACTACATAAGATCTATCTTAATTTAATTTACTTTAGAATTTATAAAGTTATACTTTAATACTAAGGATTTATTAGTGCACTATTTCTATGTTTCTGCATTAATTGTAGAGTTGCAGCTGCTAATATGCTACTAGCAAAATTTTGTAAATCTTTATTAGATTTTCACCCACACAGCAACTAAGATTAATTGTAATCTTATTTGATTGCATCTAAATTAATTTACTTGGTTTGTTCCTCCTGCACCGAAATTATGCGTAGTTAGTCCAATCCGGTTGGGATGATGAATTAAGACTGTTGAAGAGACGGACAAGGCTAGACCACCGTCTCTTGTAGCTTGTTTCGAGATATTATCTCTCCAAGTCAATTTTATACTTGTGACTATGTATCCTGCTTAAAGCATTTATTTATAGAGTCATGTCCACTTCTGGCTTGCACGGACAAATGTGTGCCTATCTAATTTTAACATTTCTCTGCTCTACGTCTTACGTCCATTAGCAAGAATGTACCGTAGTTATGTAATGTCTGCCAAACTCAGCCAAGATCCAAGGCGATGCTTTGCATCAGCATGGGTGACCAACTTTTACTGTCCATGCTTCATTGATGTCTATGTGACGCAACATGCCGTATTCGCCGGCCAGCCCTGCGTAAGTAAAAGAGGGCAAAAGAGCTTGCATGAGAAAGTTGATGAGGGTTGCAAGATTAAAGACAGAAGTCTCAGACCAGGATTGGGAGTTGTAGAGACTTTGCCCTTACGTGTGAACTAGTAATCTAATTTATTATTGCTGGGACTTGACCTATTCACTCGCTACTTCGGTGGTGGTTGTCGGCTGGGCACCAAACAATAGCGTTGGTGGCAAACCTTGGCTGTGGGGTTTCCTCATAATCGTGATTTATATCCGAGTCTCGCGGTGCATTTAAAGCTAAATTAAGGGTATAAGCATTGGCAAGATGGCCTATTTTTATACGTTTGTAGATCACGTCATCCCGCGTAACATGGGTAAAAAGCAGTGGCGAAGACGAGTCCCTCTCCGAGAAATACGAGCAGCATAACGGAAAAAACTTATTATTTTATTTTACTCTTAGGTTAAAAGCTAAGCCGATATATATAGGAATAACACCAGTTGAGGCTACGATTGTGAATAGGACAAAGCGATACAGTTTTTGTGTATAACTTCCCCTTGAAAAAGTCTACTTCGGATAATTAGAGTAACTACAATACCAGACTTGACGGTACTTATCTGCGTCCACGCAGCCAAAAATGACGTCAAGTGGGCTCGCTCGTCAGAGCATACTGAGATATATGGCGCTTCTCTTGAGCCTTTTACTTGCCACCCGCCCGACTTTCGGGTACTTAACGGTGAGTGCCTCTTGTGTTGGGCGACTCCTGAGGCAAAGTTGTGCATTTGCCGCCGCCAAATGACGTAGTTGAGGCTTCAGCTGTTCTGCCCGCCACCAATATAAGCAGAAAAATACGGAACTGGCTGGGCTATATAAAACAGTCATTCGCCGACTCAGACTCATAATGAGGCTGTATCATGAACCCAAGCTCTGAAACATGACCACATCAGAAGACACATACTATTTCGTTCCCGGCCTTCGCTCCCTTGACCCTTTGGCACGTGAAATCGACCTCAAATCTCATACCTGGGTGCGAGCTATGGAGATTGACGATACCGACTTGACTTACGAGGGTAAGTCGCTAAGCTCGTGGTTCGAAGACGAGCGCAGTCGCCGTAGCAGCCACAGCAGCCACAGCAGCAACGATGAAAACGACGAGGAGGACAAATAATATCCAGGGAGGGTAGGATAGGGGTCGCGGGCCTAGGGAAAGAGGCATCTTCAATTAAGACCTTGGCGCTATATAAGTCGTACAACAGAATAAAGTTGTCTACTGAATAGATCCAAGATTGGCCCTTTTTGTCCACTAACAATATCGGAATATACCAGGGTAGGAGATTGTCTTTCTTGGAGTAGTGACAATTTTTATTTGCAATTACAGTTCTAGACTAAAATGCATCGCGATTTAGTCAGACTATAAATGACAGTACAAGGTGGAATGTCAAGGTTAATCTGCCTGGTGACAAAGTGTGAGACAGGAAGTCATATTTTTTTTTGTGACGTAAGCTCTAGGGACAGATCTTGGAAGATTTGGTCCATTCAATCTGCTTACAGATACTGAATACAGTGAATCATTCCAATGTATTGCGTTTTTCCGCGGAGATTAACAGCAAGCCTGCGCAACTTATTCACGGATGTGTTTTGATGCACATCTTCTCATACGTCGCGCAGCTGTTGATTAGACTATTGGAGGACTTGGGCAAGTTTTAAACTACATTTGAGGAGACTTCAGCCGTTTGAATCATGTAGGATACGAGAGCAGTGATCAAGAGAATAAAAAGATGGGTCAAACATGCAGTGCAAGCCTAACTGGTTGCTCGTCGAAAATACAGACTTCAACCAACTACGTACAGCAAGGTCCGTCTGCCACAAATTATACAATGAATTGTGTAGCCTTCAAAAAGATGCAAATTATAACTTCCTTCTGGCGGAATTCATCATCTCTTGGGCAGCAAACCAACGATACGACTACTTCGAACCACCCTTCCTACCAGCCTCCTGGGCCTTCTTGCTTCCAGGTTCAAACGAGCCAGATGATGCCTGACCTCCCTGGGAGGCTATGTCTCTCTGCCGAATATTATTAAAAAAATATCTTTTACAAAGCAAACATTAACTACGAACCTGCTTGTCAGCATCCATACCGGCAAAGCCACCTGAATGACTTGACTGTCCTCCCTTTGACGCAATCTCTTGAACTTCTTCCGTAGGGCTAGACTTAAGTCAGCTATAGTTTAAGTGGCATGGCGAAGGGCGAATACCGATTGGCAAAGTTTCCGGGGTTCTCGTTTCTAGGCATGTTGCTTAGTTGAATTCAAATGGACTTCCAGGTAATGGCCATCTATTTTGCGGAGCAAGTTTGTATTTGCATTGGCAGTTGAATTCTGAATTGGGCAGATATTTATATGGAATTAAGCTAGCCGGCATGCTATAAGTCATTGACGCAGCCATTTCATCAGTATGTAGAAGCTGCTACGTGCAAGGGGTGGCGTAGTATTTTACTTTACCAGCGGAACGAACGAAAAAGGCTCTTGCGGCAGATGAGAGGCCATGGGTAAGGTCTGTAGGCAACTACATTGCCTCTTCTTCGATCAAAAGTCCGTGCACGTTGTCAACAAGCTCATGATGTCAGGCTGATGCGTGCATCATGACGGCGAATAAACCGTCTCCCGTGCAAAGAATGCATCCACATAACCGATCGCTTCCTGTTTAGGCGCATGGCTTTTCCACTTTGGCTGCTCACGTCGGCGTGACAAGTCGATCGACATTAGGCGGCTGCTAGAACCATGTTCGAGTACAAACGTCACGGAGGTATCTGCTCAGTGGCGAGCATGTCTGGCTCTGTCGCGAACAAGGGGTTGTTATCCCCAGCCTACAATTCGTCCAAGGCCGCAGTGATACAGCTGGCCCGAAATCTAGCCATGGAATGGAGTGCTGGCTGTTAATAACAAGTCCAACGAAGGGGGTATCCGCGTCAACTGTCTTAGCCCTGGCCATATCTTGACGCCAATGGTTTTGAAGAACTTTGAAGAGGTGCCAGGCTTGAGAGATCGATGGAGCCAGGCTGATATGCTAGGTCGGCCAGCCAACACGAGCGAGTTTAAGGGTGCTGCTTTGTTTCTTATGAGTAACGCCAGCACTTTTATGACAGAAAGCAATCTCATTACTGACGGCGGGCATACGGCTTGGTGAACTGTTTGCCGCTTATTTGGTGGCAGAGCGGCAGTAGCATGACTTGGATTCATCTTGGTTCCTCTTTTGGGCCACGGCACCCTTATTTTGTATATCAGTGCATAACTCTTGGCAGGGTTGAGCATATCCTGCCACAAGCTGTATTCAAAGAAGTATAGGGAATGATACGAGAGATTTCGATGTAGTTCTCAACCGTCAGTGCTTTTTCTAGAGCTGTGGGAAGCCACTTGATTAGTCAACAGAGTACCTGCACGGTTGCTAAAGCTAATCCGTGCCTTTAAATCCCTATTCAGTCAAGAGTGCACAACCATCACAAGGCTTGAATGAACTTCTCGAGATGATGGTGTTGATAAAATGCGAGAATCACACTATATTCACGTCCTTTTGATAGTATCTTGCACAATTCAGCGATAGTTCAAACTCCCAAATGCAAAAAAGAGTCAGACTCCCATATAACCACGACTAGACCCTACACTACTTGTGGTTGTGATTATGCTTGACCTTCTTACTGGGCCGGAACTCAGTTTGATACAACCGGAAGAACTCATCGGGTTCAGTTGGATGACTCTCCGTAACGTCATGAAACGCAGTAGTCGCGATATAGTTGGTCTTACCCTCACGCACCAGGCTGTAGTACTCGAGAAGGTATTGCAGCTCAGACTGGTCACTATCCGACTGTGCCTTGAGCACACGTTTTGCCTCGGCCCTGCCATTTCAATCAGTACCTCATCATGCAACGGAAACCATGTCAGGCCACGAACTGGGATATGTTTTCGAATTCCATCTCCGTACCAAGTGCCTTGCCCGCGGCGGTAGCTAGCTCATGCCCTGCGCATAATTTTGGTCCTATTCGTGTTATTCGGTTTCAATTACTAATGCAGCTTCTGATCCTACCAGTGACTATCATCATTTGTCCCCTATGCTTGTCATCAAATCCGTGCTTCCCTTTACCCGTGAGAACATGAGCCGCGACCTGGGCAACGTCCTGTCCAGAATTAGCTAGAAAGCCATCATCTCGCAAAAGAAGAACCTACCCCAAGAGCAACGGGGGCGAATTTGTGGCTCTCACCAATTGGCAATGGGAGGATACCCTCCTCATTTGCCTGTGGAGCATATAGGAGGAGATTCTCGGCATAAAATCCTGCCCTGGGCTAGGTTAGCATCCCATTCTTCAAGTTTCGCCCAGAGTTCATACCGGATAACGCAGGGCGAACCACCGGTAGGTGTGCTGGCGTCACCCTTGGACTGCAAGACGAGGGCCTCTAGGTCGATAAACTCCCGGAGTCGAGGTTGCTTTGTGGGATCTGCATAGTCGCATCCCGCCGAGCTAATCAGACAGACATTTGCGACTTGGGCCTTTTTTGCCGCGTCAACCAACTCGACGCATATATCGAGTTTGTCTTTGTGTGCCGGTGGTACCAGACAAATTGTGTCTGCGCCCGCATCCCTGAGCGTCTTTACCATGTCCTTGACGCGGCCGAGAGTATGGGGAATAATCGTCGCCCCCATGCTCTTGAGCTCCTGGGCTCGCTCTGACTTGGGTTCCAAGGCTAGACCGACCACGGAGTCGATTTTTCGCGAGAACTCTCGATGTTGGAGGAGAAGCTCGGCGATGGCGAAGCCCGTGTTGCCATCTACGGCCGTGACGCAAATCTTGCGCGTCATTTTCACTTTTCACACTTGTTGAAACATCTACTCTTGGAATAATTAATTTTCTCCCTTTGAACAGCGAGTGAGTTTACAGTTATGCGTTTAGAGTACTTTATTTATGCGCATCCGCTGCACGGTGATCTCGTAAATTGTCGTGACGTCATGTCTGCGTGGTAATGAGCACCGCAGCTCGCCAGCGCGCCCCGTGTGCTCAACGTCATGACCAGACAACACCAATCCGATGGTCCGCATGAACCAATTCATTGAGAAACAGGAAGAGAACCTCCGAAAGAAGAGCCCTGGATCGATACCACGAGACGCCCAGGCGGGTTCTCTAGCGCTACACGTCGTAATCGACCACGTTGAAATGTGCCGTACCGCGACACGATGATCTTGCGGGTCCACTCAATAAAGTAATTCCCGCGGGTTGTGCTACTTGTCAATCTGGCATGTCCCGTTCGACGAAGCGGCAGTTGTTGCATAGGGCCAACGCTAGCCACGCCCCCCTTCCAGTAATGTAGCATTGGTGGATGGGTGGAAAGCGGCAGAGTAGAAGTGTAGTCAAGTGTTTAAGCTTTCCATCTACGAGTCTCGGGTTTGGAGACTGGGATGCGCACGCCAGTATGCCATGAACTGAAGTGGTCGAGCTACTGGCGTTTTGTGATATGCTCACGTTGAGGCACCTCACAGGGCTTTTGAGTACGGCCTATTTTTCAACAGAAGATGCAACACACAGTCTTGTCCCGAATGGAAGCTCAGAAAGCTGTATTGACGAGCATTAGTGTCACGGATGAAAGCTATAGATTGCATTGAACAGCAGACTAGTCCTTGGATAAAGGCTATTTAGCTGGATGATTGGGGGCTTTTATAGATATCAGAGGTCACCTAGTAGGTCATCCATTGAGGTTCTTGGCTGTATTGAACATGCGCAAGCGTTTTACAAGGCCTTTTACGTTTCCGGTGACAATTAGTCAATCTATTTATGCACGCACGCTGGCAGTCATCTTTCCAATAATTGTAATTCCATGAACTTAACTCTGTTATAGGCAATATAGATTCATTTGACTGAATCCACGCTGTACATCTGCCTTTCAGTCTGCCACAACTCCATCAAGATAAGAAATACATCCACTTCTGAGCACAATAGCGGTTCGATTCGGCAAAAATGGCGCCATGGCCATCTTTATCACTCCATGGGCAATATTTCTCAATGTTACGCTGACCTTCCGTCACGTTTCCAAACCATCTCACACAACGGTGCCGTGTTGACCAGCGCCAGCGCCGGTGGAGGAGCTGGGCCGGTCATTCTTAGCCAAACCACCCCTCGACGTGACGTCGTTCCGGTGACTGCGGAAAATGAGACCTTCAACAATTGTGTTGCAAAGCAGGAAGAAACTGTAACCATGGTCAGTCCAAGTTCATATCCATGTTGAGTTGGTGACTGACAACGCGAGAAAGTTGAACGCTGCAACGGTCCGTTTCAAGTTGCATCTACCGTAGCCTGGGCCGACAACGTGGCATCTACCATTCGCCCAGTCCTGCGCCGAGAAAATAAACGACGTGAGCCAGAGGTAGGAAAAGGCCAAGTTGACAGGCCAAAGATGGCCCCTGTATGCCCCAACAAGAGGCAACAGCATCCCAATTGTCCACAAAGCCAGTGTTATCGTCGCCTAGTGCTGTGAGCAAACTTTCGTCATGTCAGGTTATTTAGTTTACTCACAATGACTTCCTGGTAAATAATATGCGTGCTATTTGAGCTGGTAGAGAAGCGACTGATGAACCAGGACACTATTCCCGTGACAATGACGGCAGATAGCCAGGCCATGAAATGGTTGGCTACGGCCAGACCTCGTAGTGAGCTGTTGAGCATGTTGTCAATGCGTAGAGTCGGACAGCGGAAATGAGCTTTTCAAAGTACGTATTATGGACCATGGTTTGTCAGCGTGAGATGGCTTGATGGGAACGGGCAGCGTACGGTGTTGTTACTACGAGTCTATATATCGGGGACAAAAAGGTAAAAAACCTGATAGTACCGCTTCTCACGCCATCCGTCAAGTGCCGCATGTTGACGTCGATGATGTAACTTAGTTACTAGTTCATTCCTACGACGTTGCATCCAACAGCGGTCAATCACGCAACATTGACTCAAACCGCATGATGTCGCCAGGGTACATGTGCATGCATGTACTCGACGCTGTGCATATGCCGTAACTACTAAGTACCTAAAAACAAGGCCCAAGTACAGTCGCCCATGTGCTGTGCTCTTTGCGGAACCTGATGAGGAGGATAACGGCCGGATCAGAGCGTCCGCGTTTTGGTCGCACAATGATTCATGGAAGCTGGCCGCGATGGAGAGGAATGTGTCAAGTAGGTGCTGATATCACTGTAGCGTCGTGCCGGTCGTACTCTCCGAAAGCCATCGACTTGATGATGCAATGGCTAAAGATGTAGAGGATGGCGTCTGAGGGAACTTGGTGGCGGCAAAAGAAAAGAAGGAGAAGATGGCGCTTTTATTGATCATGAATAAGCCGCACTCGGATTCAACTTCCGAAACGTAGCAGAAGCCACCTAGTGCTAAACTGGATTGCGAAGATTGGAACTCGGGCGATTCAAAGCGACAGGACCGACTTTTGTCTTTTTTCCCTTCTCATCTCATTGTGCCGCATAGCTTGGGCAACGATCAGAAGGCGCGTTGGCAATCTGAAGTACCACCACAGCTTTTTTTTACGCTTGAGTTCTGGAGCAAGCTGCTGCCGCGCCTCGTTTCCTTGGTCGCCGTCCATGGCCGGATGCCCGTAGTCCGTAAGCGACACATTTGTGCAGGATCACAGATTTCTAGAGAATAAAGAATTGCGTCTCGGAATCCGCAAGTGACTAGAAGGTTCATGTCCAAGGCATGTTCCTAGGTGCGGACTATTACGACTCTCCGAACCCGTTACTATAGGCACGACGCGTTGCATACATCAGGCGCCAGAAAAACATTGTTTTGGTCCAGCAAATAATGAGTACTACGCCCTACAGACTACAGATCTCCTGTGTGTAAAGTGATGGTGGCAGATGACGCAGAATAAAGCGGCAAATTCTTGTACGTGGAATTATAACTATAACCTTTGCCGTTCAACGCCCCCATTCACCTTGCTTGCAGTAGCGGCACTATATACGAGCTCAACAACCTCATCTTACGACAGACGGATTCGGAGATATAGTCTTATCAGGGAACTTCCGAAAAAGGTCCGCAACATGATCAATAGGGGCAGTCAGCAAACCCATGACGGTCTCGAATGGCGGATGCTCGCCAGCGCTGGGGTGGCTGCGCGTCGGTACAAAGGCCTTCGTACGGCCGAAGGTTTTAGCCATCGACGCCGACTCCTCGCTCGTCTCTTGAAGCTTCCTCTCTAAGGCTGGCATATCCCGTTCTTCCTCCTCCTTCATGTGTTGAGACAACGGACCCCAGAGCTTGCTAAGCTGTTCTAGATAGTTCGGGTCTGAAGCCTTCGTTCCCTGAAAGACTTTGAGCATCTCCTTGACCTGGGGTGGGATGTGCTGTTAGCCGAAATCTACAATTGCTAGTAACTATGCAGCGTACAGTGTGGTGCTCCTTGCGGTCATTTTCGGCCATTTCCTTGCCTTCTTTGCTGAGGTACTTTTCAAACGCGGGATACACAACCAATTCCTCGCCTACAGAGTGGCGCGCGAGCTCCCAGGTGAATTGGTTACCAAAACGTTGCTGATGGTCATGATTATTCGGGTTATTGATGACTTCATTGTAGTACTGTTCGAGCTCGCGGTGATCCTTGGTGATGACTGCAGAAATGGTCGACATGGCTGCTCGTTGTCGAAAGGCGCGATTGCAAAGTACGGGATAAAAGTTGTTGTTGTTTTGGGCAAGTTTTGAAATAGTACTGCGTACACTAAGCATAGTGCTATGAGATTCGTGAGATTCGAGGCGGTTTTGCGGGAGGTTGAACGGGGTGAGAAGTTGCTAGGCTACCGAGGGGGCCTTTATGTCGACGTAGCATTGAACACGGTTGAATAAGTTGCGCAGTAGGTCTGGAACGTACCTTACTTTCGATCTAGCCAATTAACAGAACTTGATTACGTGGAAAACCACGCCGTGGCGGTATAATCTACCCGTCACTGTGACGACATGTGCTGGCTGTAACCTGGCGCTTATCGTGCCGTGACTTGTGACGTCTCCAGCTCGTGCGTCAATCGGCCGTTGTTATCTAACCGGCATGAGAAATGAGAGAGCTATGACGACTTCACTTTGAGAGACAATAGTGTCTGTTCCGAGGCTCTGATTGTGGGAAAGCGGAAGCTATTGACCGACATCGACTTCGTGCTGTGCGTCGAGACATGTCGGAATGTAATGGGACAGCCCACCGACTAAACCTTTTTTTCCAGCCACATCGAAACGGTGTTATTTCCCCGTCGCAGCCAAGGCCGGCATGTGAGCGGCCGTGGGAACTGAGTAGGATTAGTGGAAGCATAATTAGAGGGGGGTCGGGAAAGCGTCCAGAAATCGAGCCTTAACTGTGACGTATCCGTAGCGGTAAGAATGATGAGACACTGCGCGTGGGTTTATGGGCGGCAGGCAAATGAGCCGAAACATGATGCCTGCTATCGAAGCATGGACGCAATGTATTGGTGCCCTCAAGTCACAACAGTACTTCTTGAGCTTCAGCTTCCTTGCTTTATATAGCAAAAGCCGTATGCCTTGAATGTGCGTGGCTATACCAGTTCTACTACATTTATAGTAAACCATTCGTCCACGCACGGTTTTGTCACGAAGCAATCACCGACATCATGAGTGCCAACAGCAACCAGATGAATCCGATTAAGCATCCCTTGCGGGCTACGGCGGAAATGATAGGTAGCGAGACCCAGGGAGAACGCCGTCCACCTCGCGTAAGCCATATGCAAGGGGCGAATGAGGGTCCAGCAGATGTGATTGCCAAAGTCTCGGGGGCAACGAAGGGTGGCAAACGAGAGGACGACGGTCCCTACTTTACAAACAACGAAGGGATACCTTTTCCAGATCCGTAAGACAAATGGTAGAGATAGAAGGGGGACATGCTAACAACAGTCTAGGGCACACAGCAAAACCGTTGGTGGTCTGCCACTGGCCAGCGACGTCTTTCTCTTCCAGTACGTCGGTTGATACAAGTCCTGGCGCTTACTGACTTCTTTACTTTCAGAAAGCAGCAGCATTTTAATAGATCAAAAATCCTTGAGCGTGAGTATAATACTCTTTAGTTGTCAACAGCATACTAAAAAAGGGGAAATCGGTTCAGGAATGGTGCATCCTTGCGGATCAGGTGCTTTTGGGTACTTTGAATGCACGCAAGATGTCACTGGGCTCACGGTATGCAAAAGCTTAACAAAGTCTCTTAAAATCGGTTAATACTGTCATCTAACAACTGACAATGCGGAGTAGAAAGCCGATTTCTTATCCAGGGTAGGGGAGAAGACTCCCGTCTTTGTCCGGTTCTCGACGGTGACGTTGGGGCGCGAGTTCCCCGATGAGGCCCGGAACCCGCGAGGTTTTGCCATCAAGTTTTACACCACGGAAGGCAACTACGATATCGTTGGGCTAAACTTTGTAGGTTTCTGGATAAAGTTTCCCGCTTTCCATAGTGAGCTTCAAAACTAATTGGCACACAGCCCGTATTCTTTTGCAGAGATCCTATCCAGGGCCCAGACGTCATTCGGTCGCAGTCGAGGAACCCGCAAAACTTTCTCCTGGATCACGATGCCTTGTTTGATCTTCTCGCCAACACTCCAGAGGCCAACCATGCTGGGTTAATGTTTTTCAGTGACCATGGCACGCCGCAGGGGTGGCGATTCAGCCACGGTTACGGCTGCCACACCTTCAAATGGGTGAATGACAAGGGCGGCTTTGTCTACATCAAGTATCACTTCATCGCCAAGCACGGCCAGAAACAATTTACCGAAGACGAAGCAGTACGAATGTGCGGTCAAGATCCCGACTATTCGAAACGGGATCTTTGGGCTACTATCGAACGTGGCGAGGAGATCGAATGGACCGCATACGTGCAAGTCATGGACCCCAACATGACGGACCCCGAGTCGCTTGGATTCGACCCATTCGACGTCACCAAAGTCTGGCCGCGAAAGGATTTTCCCATGCAGGAGTTTGGTCGCCTTGTACTCAACAAGAACCCTGAGAATTTCCATCGGGATGTAGAGCAGGCGGCATTCTCCCCAGGAAGCATGGTTCCCGGCATTGAAGATTCGCCCGATCCTCTTCTCCAGTTCCGCATGTTCTTCTACCGCGATGCGCAGTACCACCGGATTGGCGTGAATTTACACCAAGTCCCCGTAAACTGCCCCTTTATGGCGAAGTCATACGCGTCTCTCAACTTTGATGGGCAAATGCGCGTCGACGCTAATCACGCCGGAAACAAGCAATATGCTCCCAACAGCTTTGCTCACAAATTCCGTCCAGACGTAGCCGAAGCTCCATATGAAGTTCAAGACGCCGTTTCTAGCAGGAAAAGCCATTTCTGGCACGAAGGGAAGAGGAACGACTATAACCAGGCCGCCGAGTTGTGGACAAGAGTCATGACAGACCAGCAGCGACAGCACACTATCTCTAATACGGTAAAATGGCTGATCCGGGTCAACTACTCCGAGATCCAAGTGAGTACTTTCGATCCACGGCAAGCGACCTTGGTACATGTAATACTTACAGCAAACTAGGTCAAGTATCTTGCGCAACTTTACAATATATCTCCCGACTATTCCCAGGGAGTTTATGACGGGCTGACAGATCCAGAGTTTGACATTTCAGAATTGAAAAAACGCGCAGAGTGTGCTTATGAATGGTATAAGGAAGAGAAATTCCGCCCTGCGACAAAGGGCAAGCCTTCCGGCGTCCCACCGTCTCAGCAGGTCTATAATTGAGAATGCTCTGTTGTTACAAAAGGCTTAAAGTGTGCGAGAAATATTCTCCACAGAAAAGTTTATAGTAAATTGTCGCTAGTTTTTATGTATTATTAGAAATATAATGTAATGTAATTTATTTACGCTGTTAAGGACTAGCCTTACAGGCGACTGTATGTAAGCATTACTAGTATTAACTATAAACTTAAGGAGAGAGAAGGAGAAAAGAAGAAGCTCTCTGTCTTCTCTTTTCTACTTATTATATATATAAAGGTTTAATATATATTTAAAAAGTACTTAATAAAGCACTAATATAGTGCTTTATGCCTGCTTAAGCTTACAGCTTAAGTCTATTATATAGAGAATGTAATATTAATTCTATCTAATTCTAAATCTAATACAGATAGTAATATTAAGTTAGTAGAATAAGACGTTCTGCGCGTGCACTTGGTATATAATTAATACTATAATAACTTACTTCCTTCTATCTCTAAGATTATAGTATTACTAATTAATATTAAATACAATTTAATAGAAGCAATTAGTAAGCAATTGCAAACTAAATTCTAATATTTAGCAATACTTTATATAATTCTAGGGGGCTTATCTAAGTATCTTTACTTACTAGATAAGTAGAAAAGTGTAATAGTAGCTTAAGTTCTAAGTTACAGTAGGTTTATTTCTTAGAAAGTAAGTTAAGTTAAGCATTACTAAGTAATAATATAAGTAGTATAATAATAAAGCTATTAAGAGTATAACTCTTAATAGTAAAATTATTACTTAAATTAATTAATAGAGAACTAGACTATTTACTATAGTAGGATACCTTCTTCTTAAGTACTTATCTATCTCTTTATTATAAACTAAATTAACTAGCTTATTTATTAATCTCTTTAAGCCTTAATTAAATAGCTTAAGGTTTAGTTAGTTTAATTCTTCTTAGTTAATATATTTAAATATTAACTTTTTTAATTACTTTCTAAGTTATATAGCTAGTTATATACTTCTGCCTTCTTCTTATGCCTATAGGTTATGCTTGTTCTTACTAGTGTAGTTTTATTTTATATTTTATATAGTAACATTTGTAATATTATGCTTCTTCTCTGCTAGTTTTATCCTTAAGGCTATTAAAATAAGCTAGCTAAGTATTATATATTTTCCTTCTTTTATTATTATATACTATTATATTAGCTAACTATATCTTAAAGTAGTAGTCTAAGGCTTTATCTACTTCTTTTCTTTATTAAAATAATTTTCTTTCTATAATAATTAATAATTTATTTTTATCCCTTATAAAGGCTTATACTTACTATACTTATATAGAATTTCCCTAATATAAAGCCTTTATTTCTAACTTAAGTTATTACGTAAAGTATATAGTAAATAAGTAAGAGAATTATAATATTATAGAGGTAACTTCTTAATAGCTTTATAGTATTAAAAATTAATATTATAAGCTTAAGAGAGAGCTTAAAGAAGCTAAGAAGTATACTCTAGCTAAGAATTAAAAGGTTTTATATTTATAGAAATAAAAGAAATTATAGTTTAAGAAAATAATATATATAGTTATATATAGTATTAATAATATTAAAGAGTTAGAATATATAAAGTATAAGAAAGCTAAATAGCTTTAAAAGAATACTAATATTCTTTCTACTTCTTTAAATAATTTAAATTCTATATTAATTTGTTTCTTAAATACTAAGTTTAATATTAAGTTAATAGATAATATTTAGGCTTAGGCATTAAATTAAACTATATTTCTTAGAAATAAAACTACTAAAGTAATATTAAGTAATTTATAAAGTTCTCTATTAGTTTCTAGGTATTTTCTAAGTTTAAGTATTCTTTCTATTTAATAAAATAATATTAATTCTTTCTATTTTCTTTTACCTTAAGTATTTATTTAACTTTATATTTATTATTATCTTTTATTATAATATTTATAGTAATTATAGAATTATTTAGTGCTTTCTCTAGTAATAATATATAAAATATTAAATAAATTCTTATTTTATCTAGTAATAATAGTTTATAGTTGTTTTTTAATATTTTTTTAATAAGAAATAGTTTAATTTTCTTCTAGTTAAGTTTATTACTAAGTTGCTTTATTTTAATGTTTTTATAAATAAAGTATACTTTATATCTCTTCTCTAAGATTAGCGCTAGCAATCTCTTTTTGTCTATATAGTGCTTTATTTAGTTCTATAAAAATATCTATTTTTATTGTAAGTATTTCTGCGTCTTTATAATCTTTGCTGTATATACTATAGCTACTAGTATATATATACTATATACTATATATACTTTAATAATAAAGTTATATTTATAATTTGCTCTAAATAGTAACATCTTTATATTATTAATATTAGAGCTATTATAAGCTTATTATACTAGTAGTAGCTATTCTACCTAATTATTCTATTAGTAGTTTATATAGCTTTATAGATACTATTTAAGTATTTAGTTTAGTATTTCTATTTATCTGTCTAATTATAAGTAGAATGCTGTTAATAAGCTCTATTTAACTCTTATAGTTTTTATAAAGTATTTCTAAAAGTTTAATATAAATAATTTATCTTAATTTAATATAAGCTTTATTAGTAATTTATATTATATAATAACTATTTTAAAGAATATATATACTAAGTCTTTAGTGTTACTTAATTCTATATAAGAAATATAGTGTAATAGACTTAAGCTGTAGGCTTAAGTAGGTATAAGGCACTGCATTAGTGCTTTATTAAATACGCTCTTTAGATATATATTAAACCTATATATATATAATAAGTAGAAAAGAGGGAATAGAGAGCTTTTTTTTTTCCTCTTTTCCCTCCTTAAGTTTATAGTTAATACTAGTAATACTTATATATAGTAGCCTATAAGGCTAGTCCTTAATATACTATAAACTTTATTTTACTATAATAAATAAATACTTTTTAAACTTTATAGAAAGTAACTTACTATTAGCTAGCAATATAATACTACTAAGTACTTAGGCTAAAGTAGCTACTCTCTAGGAAACTATTAATAACTAGGTATAACTAATTTATAAACTAATATAGTAGTATATTATATTCTCTAGATTAGCACCTACTATACTAAATAATTCCTTATACTCTCTTTATCTAAGTGTATAATTAATACTACTATATAAGCTAAAACAGAAGCTAATTAAAATAGAGCCTCTCTTTAAGAGAGATAAGTCTATATTTGCTATATAGGATTTTATAGAGAGCTAGAGGCAAAGAGCTTAATAAGTAATAAAGGCTATTTTAACTAAAAGACGGAGAGGTAGAGTAATATTTATATTATAGCTTAAGTAAATATTATATTTAAGAGTGCACTTTATATACACTAAAACAGCTCTAGCTAGCTGCTATAAGATAAGTTGCAATAATAAAGAACTTATTAAAGAATAGTACTATTAAGGCTAAGTTAGAAAACAATAAGCCTTTATAATAAGGCTCTTAATACTATAGTTAAGACTAAGTAAGGTAGTTATTAATAGCATAAGTTATACTTATTTATATTCTACTTAGTAAGATTCTAAGTAGATATACACAGCTAGAAATTCCTAGTTGCTGCCTATATAGTACTAGAGCTTACTAGAGATATAATACTAGAGCTTTTATAAATAAAGCACTATAAAGTAGATATATATATAGCTGCATAAAAGCTAGTAATTAATATAGTAGAAGAACTAGTAGTAAAGAGAATAAACTAATGCTAACTTACTTCTCTATTAGTTGCTATACCAAGATTAATATACTAGAGTTTTATTTAATAAGCCTATAAGATATTATAGAACTACTAGTTTGTAGTAATAAGTTATACTTATTTATATTCTACTTAGTAAGATTCTAAGTAGATATACACAGCTAGAAATTCCTAGTTGCTGCCTATATAGTACTAGAGCTTACTAGAGATATAATACTAGAGCTTTTATAAATAAAGCACTATAAAGTAGATATATATATAGCTGCATAAAAGCTAGTAATTAATATAGTAGAAGAACTAGTAGTAAAGAGAATAAACTAATGCTAACTTACTTCTCTATTAGTTGCTATACTAAAATCTATATACTAGGGTTTTATCTAATAAGCCTATAAAACAATATAGAACTACTAGTTTGCAGTAATAAGCTTGCGTAAGTTAATATTAATACTATAAGTTTAAGCTATATTTAATACTAAGATAGAAACTAAGCTGCTGCTACTGCTAAATAAAGTCTAGAACTTTAAGGACCTTTTTAACAAAAAGGCAGCTATTATACTACCCCTCTATAGAGGCTCCTCTAATTATTACATCTAGTTAAGGAAAGAGGCAGATAGCACGCTTCTAAAGCTCCTCTAGGCCTCTCTATATAATATGCCTTGTAAGCACTTACTAGAAATCTATAAGTAAATTATAAACTTTATAAATTAAGAATAAATATAAGCAAGCGCCTTACTAGCTATAGCTTTAGTGCTACTAGTAAAGAAACTAAAGAGAGGTTAGTAATTCTATATTAACTATAGAGTACTAAATAAAGTAATAAAATAAGATTACTACTCTCTACTACTAGTAAAGAAGACGCTTTAGTTCTTAGCAGAGGCTAGGTAGTTTATAAAGTTAAATATATATATAGCTTTCTATAAAATATAAATTGCAGAGAGATAGAAATACTTTATAGCATTCTAAATATAGTTTAAGCTATTTAAGTAGCTTATATACCTATTTAGGCTAGCTAAAGTACTAGCTATATTCTAGCAATATATTAATAGCGCCTTAAGCTTAGCGCTAGGCAACTTTATTACTACTTATCTAGATAATATACTAATATACTCTAGTAGTTTAAGAAAGAATTATTAGCAAAAAGTCT